AAAAATCCTGCTGAACCGCTGCGTATTTCGCTTGTTATGCGAAATTTCCGGTGAATTGTCTGAGGTGATCCCGTTTTTTATCAGTAAAACACAATATGGTTCGTATCTGGAAGATCTTGATTTATTTCAAAACCTTTCTTTTCAGGAGTTTGAAGCAGAGCTTATGAAACATGTCGGCTACGGTTGTGAGGGTTTAGTGCTTGGCCCAGATGCAAGTAAGCCTTTTTTCAATAAAATTTTTAAGGCTCTCTTATTCTTCTTCTTCTCTAGAGCCTCGTGTACGTGGAGCCACCGACGTCACGTGCAATGCAAATTCCATGTCACTAACTGTTCGAACTCAACGTCCCATGCATGGCTTGATGTACGCTCAGAATTACCACAATACCCCTGCATGCGTTTTGGTAAGTATAGATGGCATACCTAGTGCAAGCATCAATGATTTATATTTACTCTTTAGGCCAGCGATGGATCGTCGCGCGAATTGACTATCACGTTTAGAGATGGTGAATGTGGGCTCTACAAAACACCTTCGCAGGTCTCTTTCATTGTTATCCATGATGGAAAATTTTCAAATCTATTCAAATTAATCGCAACTGCATTAATCGAAAAATTAAATCGTAACATCTCAAGGCGCTGCGGTTACACGTAACTCAACTTTCAAAGGTCAGTGTAAACTTGCCCTCATATACTTGACAAATTCCTTCTGAATTTAGTAGTAAGCTTTCTAGTAAGCTCTAGTAAGCTTTCCGCTCGAATGGTGACTCTCATTATGAAAATAGTTTTTTTTGGGACAAAAGGTTGTGCCTCTTCGAGGTGTTCCGGGAGTGTTCTCTGTGTAGATTAGGGAGGGTCCTTGTCTGATGTCGGGAGGGTAAGTTCAGGCTGTCTGCATCTAGTGAAAGTGCTGAGCTTCTCTTGGATAAAACTAATTCACCAAAAGTAAACAGGGCGAATTGTTCCTGATTCATATTGTTCAATGTTTCACATGTGCCAATCTTATACTCGCTCAACTCTCCCATGTCAAAGTCAGATGCCCTAAACCATACACTCCTCTATTTCCTCTCTGTCTCTACCACTTCGAGGTCTCCCATGGCCTTAAAATTCTTCCTGAAGCTGTTTATTCTCAGGTTGCATCTGGATTTCCTGCACACTCCATGTGCACAATTTTCACTTTATCCACTTCTTCTCTTTTCTCAAGTTGACGAAGCCGAAATGTCCAGCTTCCCTGTTTCATCTTTTTTCAAGTCAAAAATCCAGAATTTCTCCATACTTTGATGCCTCGAATGCCCATAGTCTCCTCTTCCAGCACTCTTATTCCATCACTCATTCTCCTTTCTCAAGCTGAAGCAGCCAAGGTCCAAGTGTCCTACCTTCTTACTCTTCTTTGCCAGAACTCAAGATCT